GTGATGTAAACATTTGTTAACGTAAACTTGTATTTCATTTCACGCAACCGAGCAACTTGTAAACAATGTTGTTTACAACAATGGGCTTTTGTATACAATATTTGCTACAATGCATGAAATGTCTCAGAACTTTACATGATATATAATGTAAACGTATATGATATGTGACGCTCCATTTATGTGTATCATATTGAACAGAAGTTTACACTACTTTTTCGAACTGTGTAGTCAGGCTTAGGAACCGGTGGTAGATCTTACGTCCCGTAACGTACCACGAAAAGGTGATCTACTTACGTTAGGGGGCACGATTAGACTATACTACAGTTTCAGATTTTTTATTTATTCTTCCTGGGTGCCACTTCCTACTGCGTCATTATCAAAATCCGAATGGGGCAACACTCACATGGAGGAATTAATAAAAGAAATTGTCGCTGCTGATCTTCCGCCAACATGTGATTCGACAATCTGTTCGTCATAAATATCACAGAGTATGACAACTTTTATTAGCCCGATCGTGGCTGATCTTCTTCCGACTGAGTTCAAGACAAGCATTGAACTACTTTGATGCTTGCTTTGGAATGATCTGAATGTGGAGGGTGAGCATTAGTGATAGAATGTTTTCATCACATATCAAAATAGATTTATATGAAGGAGCACCGAACTTGACATCAAAATGTTACCTTGATGATTGCCAAAGGTAGAAAGCAGAAATCCACCCTCTTTGACATATCGTTGCTGTGATAATAAAATGATAGAGTTAAATTTTCCTCATCGCTCAGCGACAGCGTGCTCTGGCGTGACGAACGACTGATATATATTTTTTCACGTCAACGTGTGAAACCCATAAATTTTTCAATTTTATGCTTATACTCACGATGTTTATTTGCAAGAATTCACGCAGCACTTGTGAACGCAACGTGTCAAAGCATTTTCCCAAGGATGGCTAAAATATCACTGCCCAGCAGCGATGCCACATATACATATTTTTGTACACGAAAAAAGTTGGGACCCTCTGTATATTTGCAATACCAATGCTTTCACAAATGTAATCTGTTTTTCAAAAATATAAGATGTTTTTTTTTTAAAGGAAGTATCTTCTTTTGTCAACAAAGATTCAAACGACAACTTGTCGAAACTCTTAGCTCTCCCACGCAAACTAACCCAATATTACTCTTTCTGATGTTAGTGTTAGTTAGCTCAGTCGGTAAAGGCGTAGCTACAAAGCAAGACCATGCTGGAGGTAACTGGGTTCAATTCCTGGTCCGGTCTAGGCATTTTTCGTGTTGGCAATTTTCTCGACTTCCCTGGGCATAGAGCAATTGTGCTTGCCACACAATATACAAATTCATGCATCGAACGCTGTCAATTAATAACTGTGGAAATACATTTAGAACACTAAGTTGAGAGCACGCAATAAGCTAATATGCAATAAGCAATAAGATTGAAATGCGAAAAAGAAGAAGAAGATGCGTAGGTGAGTTAAGAGATCAAACAAATTGCCGTTTTAATATATGGTTACAAACGCAGTGACCCTTTGAAAAATCATCCTTGAATAGTTCCAAAAATATACTATTTCTTCAGCTAACAAACATGTGATAATTCCGGTCATGTGATCCGGTATCAAACAAGGGAGTCCCAACTTTTTTCGTGTACAAAAATCTGTATTTGTGGCATCGCTGCTGCCCAGTCCAAACCGGGCGTTCTTAGATGACACTTTCATAAACAAATACAGAATGGAAGTGTACACGCACTTTTCTGGTGCTTGAAGCTACACCACAGAGTAATGCTAACGACTTCAATGGAATGCTTGCAAACAAAAAATGTCAGAGTGACCAAACTAAATGCTTACGACAATAAAAATGCTATCCCTGGCTTGAAATAAGTAGTCGAGAGGAGTAAGCTGGTGTAGTTAACTTACTAGACCCGTGATGTATAACGAGTAAAAGTCATTCAAATTGTGTATTGCTTATTCAGATAAAAATCAGCATCATGCGTCACATTATTTGACAACCGTAGCTTTAGGAGTAGGCTGCAATGTTTGAATGCGTGATAACTTTAATAATTAACAACTACTTTTGCCGAGATTCCTCAAAGCTCATAGTCGAGCAGACAAATGTTTCAGACATCCAAGGGCTGTGAAATCTAATATAGAACCCACTCACATTGATTTTCGTACCCACTTTCTAGTTTCATAATGTTTTCAATGCAATGAGTACTGTGCAAAAATAAACTGATTAAATGAAAGCCTATTAAAATCTTTAAATTATTTTATCACCGATAAACAGACATAAAACGTAAACTTATGTTTTGCTCAACATTCTATAACTGCCGATTCAAATGTGAAGTAATCCCATAAGTCAAAACCATAGGAATTTTTTATCTAGATAAAATAACTTATACAGAATAGATCAGACACAAATCAACTTACAAATTTGGCACGCGTGTTCGTGGCCTAGATAAACCTAGATAAACGTCTTCCGAAAATTCAGAGACAAATGACAGTAGTGTGCTTTGAGCAGAAATTACATAGTAATTTCTATGATCATTCATGCCGGTTTGTCGGTCAAAATATTCTCGCTAAATAATTTCCTTGCTGATCAATGAAATCTTAATGTGAAGAAATTATTCTCGATCTCGGCACATCAAATTTCTGTGCTAATACGACACTATACTTTGTTTGCTAGTCACAAAATTATAAGGTTTTTTTTTTTTTTCAATCTACTGCCCAAGGCCACCCTGTGATGGAGTAAATTTAAAACACAGTGTCTCTGCTACAATTACTTCTTTATAAAAAAATAAACATCACTGAAACACCCACCAAACCAAATTTTATATGCTCCTCTTTCATCTGAGGCTACTGTCAAAATGTTCTATCGGGGTTCATTTTCCATATACTTTTAGGGCATACAATTGTTTTTTAGATGCGAGTTACACTAAAAAATTGAAAAAAAAAAATGTTCCAGACCCGCAGATAGAATCATTCATATTTTTTGACGAACAATATATTTTTCGATGTCAGAGCACTAATGTTACATGACATGTTTGTTTACGTTTAATCCTAAAATGTTAAAAATGAATCCCTTCACCTGTACAATTAGATATTTAAAATTGCATGGAAAATTTTCATCAAATTATTAAATAAATTTAAAAATCTTTTTAATTGATTTTAGATTTAAATTAAGGGGGGTTTAAAAAAATCGAAAATATATTTTTGCATTTTCGGCATCCCTATATCTTCTAGAATGTTGTGTATGTTGTGTATGGAATAGCAGAATGAATGTAAGTCGCTGTTAGTCTTCAAATCTTCAAACGCGTTTTTCTCGAAACCACATGTTTTACCTTAACAGGTATCTCGGAGACTATTCGTTAATTTTAGCTGATTCTTCTGTCCGTGATGGAAACACGAACAATCTAAAATCGAACGTGGGATTTTACGGATATTCCAAATTTTTTGAATTTTTACACCCATTAGAGTTGCGATTTTTCCAACGAAAGCTTGAACGTTTCTTTTTTTCGAAAGCTGCCATTTTGGTAATTTTGTGAATTAAAAAAAAATCCTATGTTATATTTTAGTTATTTTAATGAAGAACTCAAAACACTACTTATTTCGTTTCTCCTATGGTTCAGTGCTGACAACGCTGTCCCGCAAGCGTCAAAAACATCGCCTGAATCTGTCTGGATGCAGGGCTGCCAACCGTGGAAAAAAAATATGTTGGGCTGAAAATTTACGAAAATAAAGCCGAATGGTTGCTTAATAACGCACTGAAAACCCGAAGTGATTGCATTTATTCTAAAGTTCTAAAAAATAATAAAAAATACCCTTTTTTAGAGATCTTACCAGGTGTCCCCTCTAAAATTATTTTATCACTAAAGGTCATTACACAACATGAGTTGTTTACCTTGATCAGAATACAGAGTAATAACATGTGACACAAGGGTGATATAATAATTATCGACAAATAAAACGTCATCAAGATAGCCTTGTAACATGTTATAGATCAGTAGTCTGAACACAGCTTTATAAGGCGAGGATACTATTTCAGTTTTAAAAGTATATCATCAAAACCCCCACTGACGCCATGCTCCACCAAATAATCGTCGTTTTTGCATTGAATAAATTCCGTTTATTTATTCAGTACAATCCTTTCCTGCTGGCCTAATTATCCCGTTGAAAGGTTTTACCGTCTTCTGAGATTCTTGTGGCCACGGTCAAATTGCAATGGAAAGAGTAGTTATTTTGATGGGCGAATGGCCAACAAAAGTGGCGAGAACGAAACGTGTATATTAAATTAAGCTCGCTTAAAAGAAAGCGTATGCACTTAATAAAATGCACATTCTCAAATAAACTGCCCAGAGTACCGGTCCCTCAAAGAGTCAACGAGATGAGTAAATAATAAACAAACAGTCTAATTTAACGCGTTCATTTGATAACTCACTTACCAAGAAGAACCAGCCACACTTCTATGTGGATGATGTCTCAGGGAAGACGAGTAACGCTAGAAAATCTGCGATCAAATTTACAACGTTTCATTGAAAACGGTCTTGCATGCTTTCATCAATAAATTGCCTTCGAAAATATCGTCGTGGTTTGTTGACCGGGGTCATGTTCATTTGTTGAATTAAATGTGATCTGTGAACATGAGTGGGCAAATTTCTTTAATGTCGTGATTGACGTTGGATTAAATTTTATAGGAAATTTACAAGTGGAAGTGAACATCAACTTTTCACGGCTTTCCTTTACCGCGTTCTGCGGTTTTCCTCTCTGATTCTCTTTATGCTACCCGAAAGAACGCTCTTCTGCTCTCATGATTAATCCAACAAATCCAACAGCCCATTAACGTAGCGGCACTTGTTGCACTTACCAACCACATTAATAGTCATCCGGATGAAACTCCTCTTTCCGCAGATATTTACGCGAATCTACGTCAGGATAGAGTGAGAACACCTCCCTGTGCTTAGCCGATTGGATTGAGCGTCGGAAAATCTTATATAAATAGTACCAGGTTAGGATCACCAGGACCACTTCGTTGTGGTTAGTCTTGATCGTATATACCGTGGGATTGCGTGAGATAACGCGTCGTTTCAAAGCGAATCCGACCGTTGGCATTTGTTCGTCGTAAATAATCGAAAGCAAAGTGAGTTTTGCAGCGAAAGTGAAATCTTTTGACAAATTATTGTAATAAAATAAATTTAGCAAATAAGCATCATGACATCCTGTCCAACAGTAAAAATCAAAAAGCAATGAAAGTAGTGACTATTTAGAATTAGATAAATTATGAAGCCTTCGTGAAGTGTGATTGCAGTATTGAAAATGGATTGTGGCAAAATTGTAAAGTGCAAAGTAAATCAAACCATTCATCGATAAACTTAACTGATCGATGATCTGTGAACATATGTGTGTGCTTCAATGTTAAAGTTTGCCGAAGTTAATAGACTGACGTTGCGATAAGCAGAAATAAGCAGAACATTTGAATCTAATTGAACTATAAAAGTGAAAAAAAAACAACGAAAAAAAGAATACCAACTCAGGAAGTGCAATACGATCCGGTAAAGCATCTTTATGAATTGCACATTTTCTGAGCCATCGTGTGCTAAAAGTATCTCTGTGATTGCCACACTAAGTCATGCATTGCTATTTGATTAATGTATATATATGGAATTTCTCAAAGAGCACTATATTATTTTTTTTTTACAATATTTAGTAAGAACGTAAAAATGTGAAAATATGAATTTCATACTAGAATTATTCAATGAATCAAGAAGATCACACTGACGGGAAGCTGTGACCAAACATGGTTGCTAAAAAACATTGGCCCACATTTAATTTCATCTGTCTAAAAAAGTATATCAGTGTATCAAATTTGACCATAGCAGGTGGTTAATCAAAATATAAATTATAAATAAGTAGAGCGTGAAAGCAAGTATCGGAATTTTGTGATGTTATTGTACGTATATCGCAAATTTTAACAGAAAAAAAATGCAATCAAAATTATGATCTATTATTACAGTTCCCATAGAACAGATGTGTACTTAACTAAAAAATAAACTAAATTTCATTTGATGTATTTGCCGCATCCGTGTCTCAATGCATGACTTAGAACAACTTCAACAAACTTCTATGGAATTTGTGATTTGGTAAAGAGGGATAGAGATAGCAAGCAATAAATAAATAACAGACGAGGTTAGGTGGACTATTGTATAATAAAACAGATTAAAAATCAATTTAAAGCCAATTTATTTAGTTATGCTGAAAAACGAACGGACGTTTATTAACGCCTTCTTCTACGTGTATGTGACGCTCCTACCCAAGCATTCGCCTGCTCTCAACTTAGCGTTCTTTGAAGCACTTCCACATTTATTCATTGAGAGCTTTCTATGCCAACCAATGTGGCAAGTACAATGATACTCTATGCACAGGAAAGTCAAGAAAATTTCCAATTCGAAAGATGTTCAAGATAGCCGGCGCCGGTGGTGTAGTGGTAAGCGTGACTGCTTTCTCACCCCAATGAGTCTGGGTTCAATCCCAGCCGAGGTCGGTGGGATTTTTCTGAGGCATAAAAATCTCTGGTCACGTCTTCCTTCGGAAGGGAAGTAAAGCCGTTGGTCCCGGCCCATGTGTGTTTGAATGGGTACGATATCCTACGCATATGTGGAAGCTGCCTTCCTGCACATTCGATTGCCGTCAATGGATGGCAATCGATGTCCGTCGGTGATTGGCACTAGATTGCGAAACAGAGACCGACGTTAATTAAAGGAAAAAAAAAAAAAAAAGATGTTCAAGACTGGTTCGGTAATTGAACCCACCATCTCCGGCTTGGCCATGCCTTAACCGACTAATCTATTTGAGGCTCCAATAATTAAATTGTGAATCAATGATGATAAAAAAAATTTTAGCAGTGAATTGAATGGATAGTTTTATTGTAATAGATTCCAATCGAAATACATTCGTTAAAAGCAATTTTGAAGCCAATTGAAAAAAATATGAAGATGTTATGACTTTCTTGATAGGCAGCACTGGTGGTGTAGTGGGTTCAATCCCAGTCGACGCCGTCGGGATTTTCTGAGGTAAAAAATCTCTGATTCGAGCCTTCGAAAGGGAACTAAAGCCATTGGTCCCCAGTCCATGAGCTGATGGGTCGATAGGTGTAGGGTCCAGGAGTGGGAGCTTCCTCCCTGGCGTCGGTAGCATTGGTACTCAGTACGGAAAACAAGATCTACGGAAAACAAATCAAGGAATAAAAATGACTTTCTGGATCCGATATTGTGCATCTTTTCGAGCGATTTATTTTAGTCGGCATTTTTCTATGCACAAAATTTCAAAAATTACTTAAGTTTAGGTTCTTGATATTGGTAATTCAAAATATTTAATTTATTTTAAAGTAAAAATATATTAAAAAAAACCGTCCAATTTTTATGAACAACATAATCTTAAAAGTATGTCTATGTCCTGCAAGCGTAAAAATATATCGTAGGGTAAATGACTCTAATGTTGGGCTATGGATCTATGATTGAGCCCGTGGCTAAAAATCTACTATTAATCAATTTTATCTAGATGAACGCGTCATTGAGACGGTGCTAATGGATATTTTGGTCGCTATTGAAAATTTAGTCGATTGCTGAATTTATGTATGGGGCGACATTTTATTTATTTATTTATTTATTTATTTATTTATTTATTGACTTATATTTTCAAACTTAAGACTTATGTCTTTCTTCTGTTACATCGATTATATCAAAGTAGAACAAGCGCCACAAGTATATTACAAAACAAAAAATAATTGATACGCAACACAAGCTGAACTACATTTACTACTCAACTAAAATGCTCAATACATCCTCGCTTAAATGCTGTTAACGAATTTACTTTAGTTAGACTATTGGGTAAAGAATTCCAGTGTACTACACCTTGCACGAAAAATGAGTTCCCGTACTTTGACGTGCGATGTCTTGGCAAAATACATTTAATGGACCGATTGCTTTGTGAAGTTTGCAATTTTCTGTGTAGATAACCGGGTTGTTTTGTTTTCGACAGACTATGCAAAAATGAACAACAACGTAGCTTGCCAAAGTTTACCAAAGGGCATCCTATTAGATGATGTTGCAGGTGAGAAACTCTAGAATATCTACTTAATTTAAAAACATATCGAACACATGAACTAAGAGCCACCTTAAGTTTATTGAACGTACTAGCGGATACATCATCGAGGAGAAAATCACATGCCAAAAAATAAGGCTTGTGGAGGCTTTTGAATAGTTTAATTTTAACATCAGTTCTAAGAAATGATGATGTTATGTGAAGTGAACGTAAACAAGCATAAATTTTTCCACATTGTGACAACACATATTTATCCCATCCAAAATTGGATTGAATACGGATACCCAAGCTGGTTGCATTATCGACGTATTCAATTGTTTCATTGTCTAAAAGCAATGAAGGTTTTAATATATTTTGAAAAGAACTATTTGTAATAAAAATTGCGTTTCTTTTCTTGGAGTTCAAGCTAAGCATATTCTTTACAGACCAATCTAGGATCCTCTTCAAATCTTCATTAATTTTATGAGAAATTTCAGCAACAGAATTACTTGCACAGTCAAAGTATAGCTGAGCATCATCGGCAAACAGATGAAATTTACAATTCTTTATTACTTCAGGGAGATCATTAATGTACAATGAGAATAAGATTGGCCCCAGAATAGAACCCTGGGGAACCCCAGATGTTATGGAAATAAATTGAGAAAAAATTCCATTATTAAATACAGCCTGTGTTCGCATACTTAAATAAGAACTTCAATTTGGTTAAATCTCAACACTTTTGATGAATCATTAGCAATAATTAAATCCAATTGCGACGCTCCACTTCTGTGAAAGAATGTGGGCTCGGTACCCAATGAATAAAAAGAGTGAGTGGTGAGCAGGACTGACAGACTTTCCTGAATGATTGGTCAACAAGTTCGTGTTGAAATCACCCATATTTAAAGAAAACATTTTTATAGGTAAAACCATAAGACGACAGTAAATTATCCATTGTATCCGAGCAGTCAATTTCAGGAGGGTTGTAGCATGCAGTCATTAAAAGATAGTAGGCCTAAATTTGTTTCGAGGTCTAGTGTGGTAAAGAGAATGATTTATGAAGTTTTAGAATTATTATTTTTTTAAGCAGATCCAGTGTATGGAAAATTTGTCTATGTGAGGATTTTTCATGTTCCAGAATAACGGTTTTTTTTATTGCTAAGTACAAGGTCTGAAATTTTATAAAAGTAAGAGATTTTAAACATTTTCCCAAGCCGGGATCTCAGATACATTTTTCTTCAACAGTCAGATTACAACTCCTGCAAACGGCGTGTTAATGCTGTGACACAGCATGAATGTTCCGTTGCCGAAAAGCGAGCTTGGCACAAAGTTTGCAAACTTGGTACTATGAGAGTTTTTTATTTCTTTTTTTTTACTCTGATAGTTAATTTTTCAATCCAAGTTAGTGATCTGAAAAAAAATGTCAAGAGTTTTGATTTTTCAAACTTTTTTTAATCCAAACAAATATCGGATCCACAAAACAATCGTCAAGTCTAGAATTATGTTTTTTTTTCAAGAACTGGAACCTTATAAATTTGTCTGATGTACAAACTCTTAATCTAATTTTAAGACTGAGGTCATCGAAGCCTTGGAATCTTGACATTTTTTGGTCAGTGCAAGATCCTGATTTGTTTATCTGCAGTGGAGGGCCCGGGGTAGTAGTTAACATCCATACCTCTCAAGCCAAAGTAATGAGTTCTAATCTCACCCCGGATAAGCCAGAAATTACACAACAGTGACCAAAAATTTAAAAAAATTGTTTATGTGCCAGATTCTTGATTTTCTTCATCTAAAAGAGTATGATCTTGATATCGCTGTGCGTTGGTTGACGAAATAAATAAATAAATAAATAAAATAAATAAAGATGCTGCACAACATTCTTGGTAAAAAATATTTTAACATATTTGACTTACTTATGGTCTCCTGAGTTAAGGACTAGAATATAATTTTGTCCTAACACGTTACGTTATTTTAGGAAACATCTAAGTATTAAACTGCCGTTATACGCATAACTGTCCCATGTTCTATGTATTCCTTATGGACCATGGGACAATTATGCGTATG